TCACGAATTCCATCTTTGAGGTCTTGAATCGACGCTGAGCTGTTGGCGTAGACCTTATCTTTCACGTGGCCCCAAAGGAAGAAGTCGCAAGGTGTTAAGATCACAAGATCTCGGTGGCCAATTGTGATCACCTCTTCGAGAGATACGAGTAACACGGTCAGGAAACTTTTCCCGTAAAAGAGCAATGGTTTCGTTTATGATTATGCGAATAAATCTTTTAATCAACTAAATTGATTATAAAAACATAATTTGGCTTCAGAGACCTACAAGGATTTGCAGAAATATTTGATGACTTGCCATACAACAGCTCCTCACATACACTAGACTACACAATAAATATTCCAAGTTAACTTCACTATTTTCTGAATAAATATGTCTTTATAGTTAAAATATTTCTGCTATAATATGTCTTAACTTTAACGTTATTTTTATTATAGACTTATCTAATTGAATTCTATGAAATATGTATAGAGCATAGGCCAAACTTAACAAAAATGGCATAGTAGATTTGATGATAAATATTGCTTATCCATTAGTAGAAATTGTTTAGTTAATTTTTTTTAACCAAATTCTTCGATTTTTATAGAATTGTGAAAACCCAATCTTAATCCGTGTGAAGTGAAAGAATTCGAAGTGTCATCACCCCTATTCATCTCGTGGGTTTAGACTAAGGGAGGAAACTACGCAGGACAACAGAGAAAGGGATGGAAAACTTGAAAGAAACTCTGTACAAACCCGTCTGGACAACATGGTGTAATAGTAGGCCAAAACCTCCTTTCTAAGGAGAGGCCTATGTCCAGCAGTGGACCACTAAAGGCTGTTGATGGTGATGATGGTTAAAACTAACAATTTTAGGCATCAAAGCCTACCATACTATACCTACATACCACACCTATCATATCATGGGTGAGTGGTAGAAAATTTAAAAAAAAGTTGGTCTCACTTTTTTGAATTTTCATCGTGAAAAATAAAATACCAGGCACCAGCTAGTCTGTTAGTGTAGCTAGTAGTTAGATTAAAATACCAATGTCGACGTCGATATGTCGAGGAAAAATATATTGATATTTAGGTCAAGTTTTCAAAAGATTTTGCGTTTTTAAAATAGTAGTGTATTTCAATAATATCAATAGTAATTTTTAGACAAAATGTACATTATTTTAATGTGCAAAAATCTCAATATAAATGAAGGTATTTTTATCAGTATTCCTTTTCATTAGACAACAATTACAAAAATATCAAAACCCAAAAGGCTCTCTTCTAACTGATATTTTAAAACCTATTTATTGTATCAGTCACACCAGTATTTGGCTGGTAGTAAAAGTAGAAAAACTCTGCTCTTTAAATGCGATGTGTGTAACAAAAGAACTCATGACTGTGTGAATAAAAGTGACGGTTGACTGCCGCACACACACATATTCGCAACGCAAACACGTGTGGCTCAGAAAAAATGACGGAAAATAGCCTACATTTCTATAAATGTGCCCCAATGAGATAGTATTAGCGATCACCAATACTAATGCAAAGATAATAGATTTGTAAGCTATTAATAGTTAAAATTTCAACCGTCAGATGTCATAACCCAATAAACTACAAACTGATTTAACTTTTGATGTCTAGCCTTTGAGAGACAACAGTCTCTCAAGTCTACTGGGATTCCAGCGGTTCCGCTTAACACTTTCGATATTGCCGCAATCGAGAAAAGGTGCTCATAAGGCACAGATGATCCCCGATATTTAGTGGTCCACTGCTGGACATAGGCCTCTCCTTAGAAAGGAGGTTTTGGCCTATTATACCACGCTGGCCATACGGGTTGGTATAGGGTTTATGTCACCGAGGACCGAGGAGGCCGTGAGCTGCGGCGGAGTGGTGTTGGCGGTGTCCTTGGACATCGCCAACGCCTTCAATAGTCTGCCATTCAGCTGCATCAGGGAAGCGCTCCGCTACCACGGAGTGCCAGAGTACCTGAGGCGGCTGGTGGCAGATTATCTTGAGGAGCGAACCGTCATGTACGAGGACCGAAATGGCGTCTTGAGACGCAGGGCCATGTCGTGCGGTGTTCCGCAGGGGTCTGTCCTAGGACCTCTCCTGTGGAACATCGGGTACGACTGGGCCCTACGAGGGCGTCTCCCCCCCGGGCTGGGTGTAATCTGCTACGCGGATGACACCTTACTCACGGCCCGGGGGGTAACTTCCAGGAGGCGGCGCGCCTGGCCGCCAGGGGAGTTTCCCAGGTGGTCGGGAGCATTGAGGCGTTGGGATTACGGGTGGCCCTGGATAAGACGGAGGCCCTATTATTTCATGGGCCCCGTCGTGGTCCACCCGCCGGCGCCTCAATCGAGGTCGGCTCGGTCCTCGTACCGGTCCGGGCCCAGATGAGGTACCTGGGTCTGGTCCTAGACGGTAGGTGGCTCTTCTACGAGCACTTCCGACAGCTTGGTCCGAAGCTGGTGGACACTGCCTCCGCCCTAGGGCGACTTTTACCCAATTTGGGCGGGGCCAGTGTTCCCATGAGGCGGCTGTACGCGGGGGTTGTCCGGTCCATGGCGCTTTATGGTGCACCGGTGTGGGTGGCGGCTCTGACCGCCCCGAATAGGGCGTGCCTCTGGCGCCCCCAGAGGATATTGGCGGTCAGAGCCATACGCGGATACCGCACAGTGTCCACCGAGGCAGCTTGCGCCTTGGCCGGAACACCCCCGTGGGATTTGGAGGCGGAAGTGCTCGCCGAAGTTTATCGGCGAGTGGCTGACTTCCGGGCGGAGAGCGGATTTTGCCCTCCGACCGAGGACGTGTGCGAGTGCACCATGGTCAGATGGTCGTTCCGGCTGGAGACTCCACGCGCTGGCTTCGCCGCCGTGGAGGCTCTCCAGCCGGTCATCGCCGAGTGGGCAGGGCGGCAGCACGGGACCCTTTCCTTCCGGCTGACGCAGGTGCTTTCAGGGCACGGTTGCTTCGGAAAGTACCTGCACTCGGTCGCTAGGAGGGAACTGAGTCCCACCTGCCACCACTGCGACTGCAGTGAGGACTCGGCCCAGCACACGCTGGCGGTCTGCCCCGTATGGGCGACGCAGCGCCGGCGCCGGGCCCTCACTGCAGTCATCGGAGCAGATCTCTCGCTACCGGCCGTAATTCGCTCCATGGCCCGTAGCGACAGTTGTTTTACCGCGGTCGCAACCTTCTGCGAGGAGGTAATCTCGCAGAAGGTGGCGGCGGAGAAGGCCCGGGAGGACGACCTCCACTCGGACCTGATCCGCCGCCGTCGAACCGGGCGGCGGAGGCGCGCTTACCTGCGCCTCATGCCGCCCTGAGTGTGGCCGCGGGTGGACGGGGTGGGTTTCCCCTCCACCCGCATTAGTTTGGCCAGCCGCGAGGGGGCGGCGTCCGCGTGTGCCGGACGTCGCCTAAAGAGAGGAAAATTTTGAGACGGGGCCCGCAATAGGAGCGGGCCGGCGCTAGGAGGGGTCCAGAAGGCGATAACTACCTGGACCCCTCCTAAACTGGAAGCGCAAAGAGGGCACACCGTGTGGTTTTAGTCGGTTCGAGTCCGACACACCACCCCGCCGCAAACCCCGGTGGGGTGACGGTCCGAGGGGATTTCCACACGTTAAAAAAAAAAAAAAAAAAAGGGTTTATGTCAAGTTTTCCTTCTCTCTGCAGTGCTGTTGTTCTGCGTTGTTTTTCACCTTAGTCGACTCTTACGACACCCACGGGATGAATATGGATGGTGACACTCTGATTTCTTAATCCGTCTTAACTGCTTTTTTTTTACGTGTGTTGAGTATCATGGAGAATAGAGTAACTGCAACAGCGACACCAACGGGACACTTAGTATTAACTCATAGTGATGAACTCTTATAGAGGCATAGGCTAAGTATAGCGGCATAGGGGTAAGGCTAGCTCTCGTTTGAATTTGGGCTCCTTTACTCTACATATTTCTTTATGTTGATTATATTCAAGCAGCTGTAAATATTTTTTTGGCTTTTATTAAAACTGAAAAAATCAAAAGTCGATTATCTAGGTTGAAATATCGATCCACTGAATTGATTCAGTGCTACATTTCGATTAAAAAGATTGATTATTTTGGTCCGAGAAATCGATTCTCCATCCCTCATCCCTAGTAGATTTTCCACTACAACTGGTGGTTTTAACCAAGGGGGCAAACATTTTGTGTTTTTTAGTAGCGAAATTTTGTATTAGTGGCTAGTGGATTTTTTTAGTGGTTTAGTAGTAATAGTAAGATTGTAAAGGACTTAAGAAATGCTGGTGAAATATGAACTATGAGAATTGTTTGTGTACGCAAACCTCAAGAACGTTTGATAGGAAAGGAAGGATGGGGATTGGATAGAAATGCTCAGGAAGAGAAGGATTATTAATTTTAGACAATGGGATGATGTAGGATTTGTGTTAGAGAGAGGAAAAGGATTCGGTGTCGAGAAAGAAGTCAAAAATGTCACAACTTAGAGGAACGTAATCCAGAATGGTAACTATCATCCTGCGACTTACCAACCATTTCGTTATAACAGATAGACAGAATATTTTTTTTTAATTCATAATCAAAACCAAAGAATCATATTAATCTGGACTCGACGATGAATCTGCTGACAACAACGATTAGTATCAGTATTAACTTTTAATAAAGGAAACTAGTTACTAATATACTTATGGTTTTCTTTCGTAATTACTTAAAGAAACGTTTAGTAGAAAGCCTACTATTAAAGTAGGGTCTTTTTCATTGGTGGTTTTCTGGTGGCTTTACATGTTGAATCTGGTGGAGAGTTAATTTATCTGCTGGCAACACTGCATCCCTATTAGTCAGTCGGACTGCGTGCGTAGGTTTACTAGGTTTGTCTGCGTTTCAGTTTGGTGGTGTTTGCACTGTCTCAAATTCTGCTTGTGCAAATTGTGGTATCGCGTGGTGATTTTAATTCTTGAATTTAAGTGTTTAACATTGTGTCCAACTTCGTCTTATTCGCGCTGTGAATCAAACATAGTTACGTTCTAAGATGTCTACGGATAACATAGAAAAATTATATCAAAATTATGGCATCCTAGCCGACGCCAAAGATGACATCTCAAAGGTAACCTATTTGAAATATATATCATGTGTTATTTCTGTAGCCCTGTAATATACGATTGTATGTAACACTATTCGATTGTTTTAGCATGAAAAAGAGTACTTGGAAATACTAGCAGCAGTCAAAGGATCTGACAAGGAAAAACGTTTGGCATCACAATTTATTGCTAAATTTTTCAACAGTTTTCCTAATTTAGCCGATCAAGCCATTGAAGCCCAATTTGATTTGTGTGAGGATGATGATATAGCCGTAAGTTTAACTCTCAGTTATGTTTTTCTGTTGGAATTATGTGTACTTATAGGTACTCAATAACCAACATTTAAATTTACATGTATCATTTGTAGATCCGGAAACAAGCTATCAAGGATTTGCCTACGCTATGTAAAGACCACAAAGAACATACTCAAAGAATTGCTGACATACTGGCGCAGCTTTTACAAACAGATGACACAACAGAATCAACCATTGTCACTAACTCGCTGCTGTCAATTTTAAAGATAGATGCTAAAGGTGCACTAACAGGTTTATTCTCACAAATACATCAGAACTCCGATACTGAAGTCACAAATGAAGTTGTTAGGGAGAGGTGCATTAAATTCTTGGCTACTAAAGTGAAACAACTTGGCAGAGAAGTCATTAACAAGGAAGCTGAAGAGTTAATCATTTCAGAATGCAAGAAACTGTTAGAGGTAAGTTTGAAAACTATCATTTTATCACAATTAACAATGAATTAGGTTTTCAGTATGAAATGTCCAATTGTAACATTGCTGTATTTAGAAGCAGATTTAATACATGTGGTATTATCTACTAGGGGGATTCGAGTGGTATTTAATGTTGTGGCATTATCATCTAGTGAATTCTTGAGATATTGAGTGGTATTAAATGTCGTGGTATTATTTACTAGTGCACTTTTGGGACTGTGTGGTATGTAATGTTGTGGTATTATATACTAGTGAACTTTTAGAAGATTGGGTGGTATTTAATGTTTGCTTTAATGAATTACTGATGTGATGTAGAAAATGTAATAGACATGCTACTTAATTTTTCAAGGTCAAAGTGTGAAAGTATAACTAACAAATTTACACATATTTCTATTTATTCTCTTGTAAGGGTCTTAATCATCTTCATGTTCTTATATAAAAATGACTGAACTAAATCCAAGGCTGATGCAAGACCACACATCTCATAGGTACACACATCAATCAAAATACCTGAAGGCCAATTCTCGTAATAAAAGTTAGGTCTCAATTCAGTTCTGATCAATTTTCAATTTCACAAGTGTCTTAAAAGGTATTTCGTAGTAAGGTATTAAACATCCAACATTGATTGTAATGTGATCATGTGTGTGTGTGTGTGTTGTAACTGAAAATTGAATCGGTAATCTGCTATTCTTAGTAATACTTTACTATTTCACTGCGAAAATATCTTTTATGACAGATCTAAGGTCAAAATTTGATAGGAACTGAATTGTGACCAAACTCTCGTCAGTTTACATGTGTATGTTATCCCACTAAATATGCCCTTAACCATTCAGAGGTGTTTCAATTGTAAATAACCTATTTCTTCACTCATACATTTGCAGATTATTATTGTTTTAGAATCATTAAATTTCTCAAGTAATAGTTTCTAAAAATCACAGGTGCTTTGTATTACAGACCAGGTATTGTAATATTAAAAAATTAAAAAAATATTATTTGTGTGGTGTACTCTGTGTTTTAAACAAACAAACAAACTAACTGGGGGCACCAAAAATACTAACAAACAATTAAACTCGGGCGCCAGATGCCCCAACCTAAATGAACACAGACAACCAACAACAAATACAATAAATGCCTCGGACAACTCGGTCAGCGCTAGACTTTTAATCTAGGACGGGGGGCAGCTATTAAATACACAGATGTTAAATTCAAGTGGCAGTTTATTATCCCGTAGTGTCTGTAGAGTACATGGTATCTTAAGGCTCTAATTACAATAGGTAATTCTTATACTCAAATTAGTACTGTCGTTAATGCAATCTGTTTCAAATAAACAAATAAAACAAACTAAAATTAAATATGTTTTAAGAGTCACATAAAGACTTAATAAGAAATGAATCTAAGGGTAGTTGTAGCATCGACCTACTCCCTTAATAAAAATAACACCCCTTGGGGACCTGCAGTATCCGATGCCACGACGCCAAACAAATTAATAAAAAAACATACCTAATGACCTTGGCTCAGTCCGAATGAAATAAAGGCAAACTAAGGCTAATAAATCTCACTCTGGTTCCCACGTGGTGGAAGTGGCGGGGAAGCATTCCAGGGCTCCTGATAATGGACTGCAGCTAAACAGCTTTTTCTACCATTATAGGTGCTCCACATCAAACTAAATCCTTGGGTCAGGCCGGCAGTGAGGCCAAATCCAAATGTAATGCAATGACATTACAATCCAATAATAAAATAAGGTATAATTTGAAAATTTAGATATAAATTAAAGAATTTAAGGTATAAATAGAAACCTTAGATTTAAATTAAAGAATTAGATATAAACTAGAACCCTGATTCATCTGTAAAAAAGAAAATTATAGGTTATTTGCCTATCTCAAAAGATGAATCCTAAATCTGTCAAGATACAATAGTTTACTCACCAGGGTCCCAAAACGTTTCACAAACTAAGCAGCGGCATTATAATTAATTCCTGTAACCAAATAAACAAAGATTTAGAACAACTAATCTCGACAAGCCAAGTATGAAGCATGTGGCTTAACAAGACTTACCTTTTTAATGAAAATAACAATTTGAACAAAATAACTTGAGTCTTTAACGAGACTGGCCAAACAACAAAATATGAAATAGGCCCTCGTTACAACAAAAAAATTACATTTTCAAAAACTAAAGCTTCCTCGACTCGGACAAAATCCAATGTGACGCCATCTTGCCTAATGTTGCCCAAACAAGAAAAACCAAATCGATAAATTACCATAGACGATCAGCAGCGACTATTATTCTCGTCCACCTCATCGACAATCGGCACTCGCTGAAACGTCATAAAATTCGACGGACAAACTAAAAACACGTCGCTGTTTCAATTTTCTGTAATGGTGCGAAATGCACCGTTACAGTATATTATTGTTTGTCAGGTGTACAAAAATTTATGATATCTAAATTTATGTTTACTAACAGAGAAAAACATGTTTCACTTTCTTAGTTAGACTATTGAGATCATTACATAAACTTGTCATTAGATTATGCACACATAAGATTTACATACATTTATTACTATTTTTTGTGGCTACAAATACTCAGTTTTGTCTTTTTGACTTCTTTGTTAATAACTTTGAACTGCACTCACCAAGTTCTTAACAAACAAACAGATAGGCTCATTAGCAAAATGTAGTCATTAGTTAATAGTAGTCATGGACATTAATGCTATAAGATTTAATTTAATTAATTGTGAATTCTTATAATAGTTAATCATGCACCTATGTTGGTGAATACTTATGATGATAATAAATCTGTCTTTAATGGGGTTTTAAAACAAAGGGTTCAACTATAATTAATTTAATGTTGATGCTGTAAGTCACCTAGAAATATTTTGGTATGTTTATCAGCAGTCTACCATACTACAGGATCTATTATTATAATATATCTGCCTTAGCATCTTAATTCCTAATGCGGATACTATTTGCTACTACTTGAAAATCATATGACGATAGAAAAAAAAACGATCACAACTTTAATATCACTTTCCACTAATTTCACACATTACATGATTAACAATTTTGTAACAAAGACACTAAGTTTTTAAAAACAAACAGAGGCTCATTAGCAAAATTCAGTCATTAGTTAATTAATATACTACTTTGCATAAAGGACTTGTAAACTGTGACTCAGCATAATAATTAAGACACTGCCTTTAATAGACAGTGTCATAATTATTATCATTTTAAATACTTATGTAGGTGCATGATTAAATATATTAACATATGGTATATACATAGGCTGATTTTCACAACTTACTATCATGTTTTGTGCTCATTTTGTTGTTGTATTAACATTCATTTAATATCTTTTTAGAGCCAAGATGTAATAGCTGAAGAGTTTGATCATATTATGGACTTATTGACATGGTCAAAATTAGGGAAATCTCCTTTGGGCAGAAAGGAACTTGTACAAATTGTTGCTGCTCTTGCATTCACCCCTGATGACTGTCACCCGGAAGACCCTGAATATTTAGAGAGGATTACACAATGTTCCCAACATGCCCTACCCTTGTTTTCAGTAAGTATCAAAAAAATTCATGTTCCATTTGAACTACACAACTATGTGATTTAATTCTAATTTATTTGTTTTCTTTACAGGCTCAAGTAGATTCTAACCAGTTTATCAATTTCTTCTGTGATCATGTACTTAGAAGGTGGGATGAAATACCAACTCCTGAAGGAGCAGCCGATGCTAAATTAGATCTCCTTAAATTATTTGCTGAACTTACAGAGCATTGTGGAGAGTTAGAAAATCCACAGCAGAAAATTGATGCTGTTTATGATTTGCTCATGGTGAGTACATAAGATTAAAAATTATTTGAGCTCATATTTAGTGTTAAATGTGTGTTATTTTTCATTTTTATTTTATTTTCATTTATTTGAGAGTCATGTACCTAATAAACAATTTTCATTTTAAAACATTACTTTCAATTTGTACAGCAATATACAAAGGTTATACAAACACTTAACCACATATCTGGAATAAAATTAAATTGATACTATGGCCAAATCCCATTTAAGTACTAAACAGACAGAATCCATAAAAAAATAATTTTAATGAAATTGTATAAGTGGATTGTTTTCAAAATAATTTTGTCCTCTTTTCTCACTTTGCACATTAATGTTGGTTGTAACTGGTTATTTAATGTTTCTTAGCAATATTGTACAAGTCCCTTAAACTTCAAATTAACATTATTGGCCTTATGTAGACTTGCAACGAATAGTATATTCGGCAGTATACCGAATACCGAATATTCGGCGAGGCCCCTGACCGAATAGCCGAATATTAGGCAAAAGTATTCGGCTGGATTTTAGCGCCAAAAACTTGTACAATTAAATTATGTACCTGTTTTATGTACCAATGACTACTTAATAAATGATTATAAAAGAAATGAGAACCTTACCCTTCTAAATTGTGATTACCACAATAATTCAAATACATAGAATCCTCCATTTTTCCTATTCAGAAGATGATTATGTACCTGTGTTATGCACCAATGACTACTTAAATGATTATAACAGAAATGAAAATATGAATATATACGTAATCAATCGATTTTAATTTTTAATTTTACCAATTATTTCTCAATGACAAAATATATTATTTAAGTATTCGGTATTCGGCCGAATAATATGTAGATATTCGGTATTCGGCCGAATATAACAAAAGCAGCCGAATAGGCCGAATACCGAATAGTAACCGAATATTCGTTGCAAGTCTAGCCTTATGACTTTCAGTGTACCAAAATCTAGAAAAGCTAGATCATTAAGAATTTTTCATGAAGTTTGAAAATGTTAATTTGAGGTGTCGATTGTGTGATTATCTGTGCTATAGAGACAATCACACAATCAACACCTATATTAGTAAAGTGACAGTTTAAATACTTTCTAATTTGTCCAACAGAAATATCTACCAGAGGCACCAGTAGAAGATGATGGGAAAGATGGTAATAAAACTGAAGCAAAACCTGACGAAGCTAAATCATCACCCTCTCTTCAATTTTCCCATGTAGAATGCGCGTTGTTCTCACTGCACTCTTTATGTCGGAAGTCGCCGGATGCTCTGAGCGCCGATGCTGCTAAACTCAAACCCCTGCGCTTACGTCTACAATATACAGCGCGTCTTACACAAGGGTACATAAAAAAATTGAAGGAAGTTACACAGGTATGTCATAAATACGATATTCCGACCACATGCATTATTATACTATAAATGATTAAATATTATTTTACAATCAATTATTCTTGTCTTGGGACAGAAAGGAGAAGATGCCGATTCAGAAGAAAACAAATTGAAAGTTGCTGCATTGAAGACCACATCTAATATCAACACTCTCATCAGAGATCTTTTCCGTACTCCGCCAAGCTTCAAAAGTAAAGTTCAACTGTCTTTCCAGTCAAAGAAATCTGAGAGAGAGAAAGAGGTAAATTTATCTTTCTTTTTCTTCAAATATGTACACATAAAAATAAATGTTTCATAAATCATGTTTAGTTATGATAAATGGATTGATGTGTATCCTTATTAAAAAATAGGCAAAAAAAATTGTATATTCATTAAAAATTTCGCACCATCGGTGCAACAAAGTCACAACAAGTCATTTTGTAATTTTACAGGAACGGACTTTTAAGTTTTTTTTCGATCAATTTTCCTTTTTTCTAGATTGCTACCTACAGCAGCCGGGATATCTCATTAAAATTATATTATTTGTTCTTTTAACTACAGTATCATGTAAAAAGATTTCTTTGATTTTATTAGAAAATTGAAAAAAAAAAGGAAACAAAAAAAAAGTCGTAACTTGTGACTATGTCGCACCAGGTACAAATATAATTTAATTATTTGAGCGTTATAATGGCACTTTGTTATTTCAATATACGTGAATAAAAATTGTCATTAATACCTTTAAGCCGGTGTAGCTCCAAGTCACGACTGACTCAAGCGGGCGCGGGGTCACTACTTACCAATCATACTCTGTTCTCCCAATATTTGTCGAAAAAGTAGCAAGAACGACAAAGGCACTAATGCCATCTATCGATATATTCAAATAATTTCGCGGCTGTCTTTGATTCCCAAACGAAGAAATGGTTTATAAGACAATTTGGCATACTTAAGTCATTTTGGCAATTTTGCCTACTTGTGACTTTGTTGCACCGAGGGTGCGATTTATTGAATAAGTCCGACCATAAAAAAATGGTTTTGTTACGTGATGTATGTAAACCTCGTTCTGGAGTGTAGTTATTGATACATTTCCGATTGCCTGTTGCTATTAAATTTTTTGTTTAAAACATTAATGTAGTAAAATACCCTATTACACATGTTTACCATTAAACTACCAAGGAATCGATGTTATATATTATGTCATCGATGTTACGTGTCTAAGTTGTTTTTTTTTTTGTTTTAGGTTAAAGAACAATCAGATTCTGAAGATAAAAAACAGTCACCCGGACAAAAGCGACACCGCCCTATCACCTTTGATAATGAACATGACAAAAGGTCTCCTGAAAAACGATCGAGAAGTGGAGATAGAAATATAAAAATGTACACGCCTCCTTCGGGCAAATACAGTTCACGTCTTAATAACAATGGAAGATTTTCAGGGTCTAACTCTGGTAGGGGAGGACGGGGTGGTTACGGTAGACGTGACTTCAGAAATAATGGAGCCCCATTCAGAAGGCGTAATAATTATTAATAGATGTCTTGAAATACTCAATTGTGAAGTGACTTTTTAATCATACAATGTAGCTCTGCAAAACAATTATGCTGCAGCTGCAGTTGATAGTATCTAAAGAAAGAACTTTAACAAATTTGAGATTGCAGAATAAATATCTGGTTGGTTTGATGATATTGATGGTTGATTAGATGGTTTTCCACTCTAACTTTTTTACAGGAGAAGCCGATGGTTACTAGTATTGTTAATAATTCGTATTAGCTACCTACTTGACGATGCTGTCGCGTTTTGGTTATTCATATTTTGTAGTCCTTATTATTTTTACAGATATTTATATCAATATCTGCATAGTCATACAGGTGCCAGGACCTGGTTAGTAAGTAAGTTTTGGGGCAGTGTACGTTTTGTGTCCTGTAAATGTTTTTAGCACGAGTGTAGCGGCAACAGTAGCCAATATATTCCATAAACATGGTAAGTAGCATGTTTCATATTTTATTTTAATTGCATAGTCATCGTTTCGACCACCTGTTGGGCAAAGTAAGGCGGCTTGTAAGTAATAGGCTTAAGACTTTTTATTTAGGAATTAATCTGTAGTGCATTGAACATACTGTAAGTATATTACATCAACAAGTTTTGTCTTTTATTTCTAGATCTTTATTATAGCTAAACTTCCAGCATCCAGCAGTGACTTCTTTTAAATTCGCCATATTCATTGATTCTTGTTGCAGAAATCTTACACTATATCTACAAAGAAGCCTACCTGTTTTTTACATGACAATACTTATGGAATTCTACATGCTACCAATAAAACATTTTTAATATAAATATTTTGTTCATGTTTAGTATCCACTTTCCACCGAACCTAACACGATTCTTAAAGACCCTTGTCAGCAGCTCACCAGATCCTCAACTCGGCAAACCAGCGATGTTGTCAGCAGTTATGATGAGAAAAGTAGATCCACAAATTCCATATAGGGATGGCACTGAAAATTAACAACTAAACCATGTTTACTTAAATGAATCCTAATATTAAAAAAGAAGCAAAAGTCTCAGGACATTCAAATAAAAAAAAACATTGCCATAAATTTAACAAAAAAAAATGAGAAAATGATAAAAATATAAAAATGAATTGTTTCTGCTAAATTAAAAAGAATCGAGTTGAGAATCCGGTAAACTGCTTAAATAAAAACCCCTTTAAACAAGATGACTTACACAGCATTTAGAAATTTACTTAAATCTAAGTACATAAAAATAAGCATAGATATATACCTAGAGGAATGTGAACTTGGAGATCTTGGTATACATATATATATGATGTTCACAATCTACATCAAATAAAAAAATTGAGATTTTTAGTTGTCACTTCATAACTTGCAGTTTTATTCCACCTGCTTGCATTAAAACGAGATGAAACTGATTACACAAACTTCTATAGAAAATACAATGAGCAATAATGTCTCAAAATAATTATAGAACTGCCCTCAACATAATAAGCATTGAGGGGGTAACCTAGCTATATGGGATATTTATAAGGACAGATCCATGAGAGATGCGAATAGGGTTTTCAATGCGCCAGTGTTATAGATACCGTGGCATCAAACTAGTAACTACATTAAACACATTATTCAAGAAATTAGATTGAAAAGGATCAATTTTTTTAATGGATCATCATTGGACATTACATTAGCAACTCTACCATGTTAAGTGGAAAGACAGTATTCACAAAACAGGTTAGAAAAGCATGATTTCGTTTAAATCGCTTGAGTGCCAGTGCTATTGCGATGGCCGAACCGTGGGACAAGGCGCTCTACACGCTGGCAGAATGCCCGACGTGGGTGGAGCAGAGGCGCAACCTCGTGACGACCATCGGAGTGGGAATTCCCTCGCTCGGTACCATGCTAAGGAGTAAGAGTGCGTGGAACTCCGCCATGTCCTTCTGCAAGCAAAATATGCTTGCGAAGGAGGTCACAGAACGACCTTCATCCTTCATAAACGTAGGCGTGGGGGCGACAGGTAAGGCCATCTGTCACCCTAGCAGAAGCAAAGCGCGCCCGCCCTTATAGGAGCAGAATAAGAACACCGTGGTTTCCATACACAAGGGGGGTCATCGACAAGCACTAGATGGTCCAGGGATTTCCTTCCTAGGCTACACGTGGTTCCCCAGCTAATGGTACCCGAGACAGCATGCGGTTGTTACTCGGTTCGAGTCCAGCTGCATGACCAATATAACGAGCATAACTACCCCACTGGTGGGGTTGGTACATAAAAGTAGAAGTGATAATATTACTGACATTGCTTAGTACGTTAAAGCATTAGAAGTTAATGAACCTTAACAAAGTTGAAAATGGAAATTTGTCTCACATCTTAAATCATAGCAAAAATCAATAAACATTTATCAATATAATTAGTTTTAATAAGTAATTCTTGAATCAACATACAATTTCTTTTATCTCATATTATCAACCACATTACACATAATTCTATCCAGTTCACAACAGGGATCTTGGTTGGTTACATCATTCATACTACAATCCATGTGCTCCAATATTTCAACAGGTACTTTAAAGTTGGATTCTACTTCATTTTGGTCTGGTAAGCTTTGTAATGCATTTTGTAATATATCTTGTACTTTGTCCAAATGTTTCTTGAATCTGAAAATGAGATACAAGTCAAGTACTATTAGGCTACATTATGAGGGTCACATTTTATCTATAATTTTCACAATATGTAACCACAGGACTTGTCTATACAACAATAGGCAGCCAGTGACAATAATATTTGAGCACCTGGGATTGTGAAATAGCTGTGAAGGCACATTACCAACCACTCTTAGCAGCACCCCTGATAGGATCTCCAAACATCATATCTTAGTAAAGAGACACAACTAGGTACATAAAAATGACATTAATCTGGCATAAATAAAAAACCGACTTCAATGGTTATCTCATGGATTCCATGGTCAGAACTAGACCAAATTGATATGGGACCACACGGGAAGCACCAGCTTTCCAATAACAAAAGAATCATCAAAATCGGTTCAGCCAGTCGAAAGTTATGAGGTAACAAACATAAAAAAAAAAAATACAGTCGAATTGAGAACCTCCTCCTTTTTTGAAGTCGGTTAAAAATTAGAAAATACACTGATGATTCCGAGAGGGTTTAGGAAAGGAGTTAACTTATAAGACATGAATACAAATTATCACTTGTGTTAGGTCAACACAGCTCTATATTCCATTGTGAATGTTTGGCAATACACAGCTACACAGCCCAATAAGTCATGACAAGGAATATAAAGTAATGGCCATCCTAAAAGCACAGGAGGGCAGCAAAATAAACTCTTTCTGAATATCATTCAAATTTGGAGCAGCTAACTACAACCAACAGGTTACTCCTCCTATGGATTGAAGGGCCTAGAAACTCACATGGGAGCAATCCCACAGATGAGCTGGTAGGGATGGGTTCTGCAAAACTGGTAGCTGGTCTAATCACTCTACTGTGTCTACCTTTCAATTAATTCCTGGGTAAAGCAACAGACTCCTAAAGCACAGAACCAACATTTGACGATGAGGACAGACCCAGTTCGTATTTCTAGTCTGAAGAATAACCTGCAGAGTTATCAGCCTTGATAGACTAGACATCTGAATAGTTACAATTATTACAGGATATCAAGATCTAAATTGACACCTGTTAAACAATAGTTCCCTGGATCAATGGTTTGACTGCATGAATGTTATAGTAGTTTATGCGGTTGTCACACCACTTCTTTCTATGCTGAATGTTGTAGGTTCAATCAACAACATTTGTTTTGAGTCTGGGTGTTCTTTGTGTCCGTTACATGTATGTTTGTAAAGTCCCCTACGATACAGGATATATTCCTAGTGCGGGAGTTCTCTTTTTAATAAAAAAAAACAGGGATGGGCAGATCCCTGTGTACAGGCTGTCTCAACACAGAGGAAACTCTTAGCAGCCTGTAAATACCCCAGGTTTCTGTAACTTCTTCCAGAAGGGAAGAAGTTAGGCTGTCTCAGCTGGCCAGCCACTCTTATGCATAATAGACCATCTAATACTAACACAGGTCAACATAATTAAACTGACCTGTGTAGGTTTTTGTAAGCATTTTCACTTTTTTTTAAATTTAAAACAAAAATAGCTTTAGCTTCTGCTTCTTCTACAATATAAACTTTAAGTATTACAAATATCACATTCCCTCATATATTATGCGAAATTGGCTTAAAAAGTATCCATTGTATCCCACAAATGATACTCTCCACATAGTCACATTACATTCACTTTTCATATGACATAGAAAATGTGTTTACCTTGTAGCAGTCTCAACTCGCTGCCTTTTTTGTAATTCCATCATTACTCTTAAAGTCTCTCTCGCTTGGTGGGGTCTGAACTCATTCAATAAATGATGAATATGGATAAATAACAAACTCAGATCTTCTACTTTTTCGGCTCTTTTTGGCGAATCAGGGCAATGTACTAACAAGTCCAACAAATCCAAAAAGTTCACAAGTAAAGAATGATTTAACTTCTTCAGTTCTCTTCTTCTTTCAAAATGCATAGGATAAAGTCGTCGAAAACCCTGAAAATTTAAGTATATTCACTGTCTGAGCAAAGCCAGATTGACATTATTTATAAGTTACGTTAAGACACAAAACTTAAGTTCATACCTGACTCTCCAATGATCTAATAATAGTATCATCAACATTGAAATTGTGTCCAAACATAGAGTATGAATCAGGAATAGGTCGCGGAGGTAAAGGTGCTCTATTTCTTCGTACATTTTCATCGGTGTAAAAGTTAATATATTGCATTGGTGGCAATGGCAACGAACTAACTTGTGCTGTTTCTGAAGACATGATTGCCTTTAAAAATGCGGATAAAAAATTAAGTTATGGTTAGCACTATCTATATTTAAACGGAGTACATCAAAGCGGGTTTATCCTTGTATGAACGAAGTATATTTTACGGCCACAGAGTACAGTAATATTATAAGAGAATTACGGCTCCCCAACCAACACAAACATTAGACATTTAGACCCACAGAACATATATACCCCTATTTAGACCTTATTTTTTTTTTTTGTATTTTTATGGCTTGGAGACATTTAGACAAAACACAACACAATGCTGCCAACTAAAAAAGTATTTTGCAAATAATAAGTATGGTAGACAATGGTAGTAAGTTTACCTAAAACACACATAATGAACACTTAATTGAAACAGAAAAACAAAAAGTGTACACATCAGAAGTAACATTTATTTTAACCTTAATTGAGGTAGCAATACCGATGTTTAAATTGCAAATCTATAATCAATTTTTTTTTCGTTCCAGACAGATCGTTAAGGGGTTTGGTTATTTAGTTATTTAATTGGCGATTATCTATATTAGTGTTTTATCTACGAAGACTTAACAAATAAATTAAACTCCGTTAGCAGCATCGGCTTTCTACATAAGAAAAATCCGAGAGTTGACTTATTTTCAGACTAAATTAATTAATAATGAACTGCAGTCGCGTACCGTACTATACCACTAAGGCAGCACTTTTCAAATTCCACGCGAATAAAGTCGCGGGTACCAGCTAGTTCAAACTATTTTTGGGCTTCAAAAGAGAGCGAAACGAGCAAATTATAATTTAGGCAATCGTTGTTCATTGAGGCAGAAATTTAAAGAAACAAACACAATGACACTGGCATGTCAATATATATATGTTCATAAAAATAAAGATTATTAAAGATTATTAAAGCTTATTGAATAGAAGTGATGTAGATGCTTTAAATACCAGAAACAGAAATTTATTTATTTATTTCCATTTAAAAAGAAAATAAAGTTATTATGTAAAATAAAGTGGTGACGGATTAAGAATACAGATCGATTTAAGAATTAATTAAGATTTCGAGATTAAGAAGACAGACGGTGTCACCACCCCTATTTACCCCTATCACCCTTAGTCGACTTTTACGACACCCACGGGATGCCGTGGATGTCGAAAAAGTCGACCAAGGGAAAAAACTACGCAGAACAACAGAGAGAAGGAAAAAACCACAAACCCTTTTTTTTTTTTTTTTAACGTGTGGAAATCCCCTCGGACCGTCACCCCACCGGGGTTTGCGGCGGGGTGGTGTGTCGGACTCGGACCGACTAAAACCACACGGTGTGCCACTCTGCGCCTATAATAGGAGGGATCCGGGAACAGCTGTTATTAAGACATCCGGACCCCTCCTAGCGCCGGCCCGCTCCTGTTGCGGGCCCCGTCTCAAAATTTTCCTATCTTTAGGCGACGTCCGGCACACGCGGACGCCGCCCCCTCGCGGCTGGCCAAACTAATGCGGGTGGAGGGGAAACCCACCCCGTCCACCCGCGGCCACACTCAGGGCGGCATGAGGCGGTGATAGGCGCGCCTCTGCCGCCCGGTTCACCGGCGGCGGATCGGGTCTGAGTGGAGGTCGTCCTCCCGGGCCTTCTCCGCCGCCTCCTTCTGCGAGATTACTTCCTCGCAGAAGGTTGCGACCGCGGTAAAACAACTGTCGCTACCGGCCATGGAGCGTACTACGGCCGGTAGCGAGAGATCCACTCCGATGACTGCAGTGAGGGCCCAGCGCTGCGTCGCCCATGCGGGGCAGACCGCCAGCGTGTGCTGGGCCGAGTCCTCACTGCAGTCGCAGTGGTGGCAGGCGGGACTCAGTTCCCTCCTAGCGACCGAGTGCAGGTACTTTCCGAAGCAACCGTGCCCGGAAAGCACCTGCGTCAGCCGGAAGGTAAGGGTCCCGTGCTGCCGCCCTGCCCACTCGGCGATGACCGGCTGGAGAGCCTCCACGGCGGCGAAGCCAGCGCGTGGAGTCTCCAGCCGGAACGACACAACGAGCCATCGTGGCTCGGCGGGCGGCTTCGCGCCACTCGCGCACATCCTCGGGCGGAGGGCGAAATTCGCTCTCCGCCCGGAAGTCAGCCACTCGCCGATAAACTTTGGCGAGCACTTCCGCCTCCAAATCCCACGGGGGAGTTCCGGCCAACGCGCACGCCACCTCCGTCGAAACAGTGCGGTAACCGCGTATGGCTCTGACCGCCATTACCCTCTTAGGGGGCGCCAGAGGCGTGCCCTATTCTGGGCGGTCAGAGCCGCCGCCCACACCGGTGCATCGTATAGTGCCATTGACCGGACAACCCCCGTGTACTGCCGTCTTGTCGCGACGCTGGGTCCACCCAAATTGGGCAAAAGTCGCCCTAGGGCAGACGCAGCGCCGACCAGCTTTGGAGCAAGCTGTCGGAAGTGCTCGTCGAAGAGCCACCTCCCGTCGAGGATCAGGCCCAGATATTTCATCTGGGCCCGAACCGGTACGAGGACCGAGTTGACCACGATTGAGGCGCCAGGGGGTGGACCACGACGGGGCCCATGAAATAGGAGAGCCTCCGTCTTATCTAGGGCCATCCGTAAGCCCAGCGCCTCAATGCGCCCGACCACCAGGGAGACTCCCCTTGTGGCCAGGCGCGCCACCTCTTGGAAGTTCGCCCCCCGGGCTGTCACGAGGGTATCGTCTGCGTAACAAATTACACCCAGCCCGGGGGGGAAATCGGCTCGAAGGGCCCAGTCGTACCCTATGTTCCACAAGAGGGGTCCAAGAACAGACCCCTGTGGAACACCGCACGACATGGGCCGACACCTCAAATTACCATCTCGGTCCTCGTACACGACGGTACGCTCCTCTAAATAGTCTGCCACTAGCCGCCTCAGGTACTTTGGCACCCCATGATAGTGGAGTGCTTCCCTGATGCAGCTGAATGGCAGACTATTGAATGCGTTGGCGATGTCTAATGACACCGCCAACAGCACGCCGCCACAGCTCACGGCCTCTTCGGTCACGGCCCTCAGGCGCAAAACAGCGTCGACTGTCGAACGCCCCGCCCGAAAACCAAATTGGGCGTCCGACAGATCAGGGCCCACCTCGTAGAGGTGCCGGACAATGCGGGCAGAAAGAACCCTCTCAAACAATTTACCCGCCTCGTCCAGCAGCACGATGGGCCTATAGGCCGCGACCGAATCGGCAGGCCGCCCCGGCTTCCTTAATAGGACCAGCTTCCCGCTCTTCCAGCACTCAGGGAAGCGTCCCGACGCCAAGCTAGCGTCGAACACCTCCCCGAGGCGGTCTGCCATGTGGTTGAGGGCCAGGGCCAGCACTCGAGCCGGTACCCCGTCTGGCCCAGGGGCGGTGTTCTTGGAACGGATCCGTAGAACAGCCGCCCCTTCCTCCGAATCCCGGACGGGCGGAACATTATCCTCCCCGTGCTCCCCGGCGTCTCCGGCCAAGGAGGCCATCGCCGGGGGAGTGTGTTCCGCTCGTTGTGGGAAAAGGCCCTCAACCACTTCTCGCAGGAAGCTGGGCTGGAGAGTCTTCGTAAGGGGGGGGGGGGCCCGACGCGCAGAGCTTTTGTCGCACCGCGCGGTAAGGGCGACCCCAGGGGTCACGATTAAGACCCTCCAGCATCTCCTGTCTCTTTTCTTCTTTGGCGCGGCTAATGGCCAGCTTCAGAGTTTTCCGCGCTTGTCGGTACTCCTCATGAAGCCGGTCCTCCTCACCGTCTCCACGGTGACGCCGCCGACTGCGCGTGTAGGACCTCCGGGCACGTGTACAGGCCGCACGGAGGTCCGCCAGCTCCTGGGACCACCAGTAGACCTCCTTCCTTGGAGGCCGACGACCTCGAATGCGGGTCATGGCTGCATCGGATACATGCGTAATCGCATCGCGAAAGCGACCAGCCCCCACGTCGACCCCCTCGGTCGGAGCCTGAGGAGACAGCCACGAGTGAATTATGGCTGCCTCCTCTAGTAGGTCCCGGTTCAGTCTGGCAACAGCCCACCGCGGAAAGCGGGATAAACGCCGCGCCACGTGACCCCTACTGGAGTCCTGGGTCCGGAAGAGCTCAAATCGGATATACAGATGATCCGAGAGCGTCTCAACCTCTTCCAGGACACGCCAGTTCCTTACTCGTGCGGCGAGGGCAGGGGTAGCGAACGAAAACCCTATACCAACCTAAGGAGGTTTTGGCCTACTATACCACGCTGGCACTATTCAACCCATCGGGACTCTACAAGTCTCATCTATTTCTTTTTTTTTTGCGCATTTATCGGACCATTACACTTACTTTGTATGATTTGAAGTTTTCTTGTGATTTTTTGTCAGTTTTTGTCATTTTTTAACAATGTTCAAACGAACGGACCTGTATTGAAATGAAATATGTTAATCTTAACATTTTCAACTACCTGATAAAAAAGAAAATGGAGGTTATCAATTTTACGATGTTTAGACCCATTTACAATTCTATCAGACGATGTTGGAAGATACAAAATACGCGCGAAAAACATAAGATTAATCAATCAATAATGCGAACGCTCGTCACCTTCTCCTTGGACGTAATATTTATCAAAAGAAAAAAATGATTATTTATGGTGGGGTGATAAAAACAGACTTTCATTAGTTTTGGAATCTTGTTGATGGTAAGTTAGGTATATTTTAAAGACAGAGATGATATGAATCTCTGAGCCAGTGCAGATAGTTCTTTATTATGTAGTGGTTTACGGATTAATTATTTCATTTCTTACTAGCTTTTGCGCGCGGCTACGACTTTTTTTTCTTTTTGTAGTCCCTTGGGTACCACCCACCAGTGGGGTGATTATGTCGGACTCGAATCGACCAAAATCCGCACACCGTCTCTAGGTACCAGTAGCCGTCGTAGCAGTAGCAGTAACGTCGAGTCCTGGTCGGACAGATCGGACGAAACCTGTCACCGCCAGCATTAATCGCGGCAATGCTGGCGAGTGGCGAGGGATGGGCAGCCGCGGTCTCCTTCTGCGAGGACGTTATGCTCCAAAAGGAGGCCGCAGAGCGGGATCGGGAGAGGGCCGATCCCGCTCGAAGGAGGCGGCGAAGGGGACGTGGCAGAGGTCGCTAACTCCCCAATGTGACCGCTGTAAACGACCCGAGACAGATGACACTCCGTTGCGGCCGGGGGCTGTCGTCTAAGGCGGGATGCTGTTGCGCCTTTTACTCTGTAGAACAGTGAGAGGCGCGGTAGCGTCCTGCCCCAGGGTGACTTCGTTCACTCCGGGATGTGCCTCAGACATGAGGTACGGCAGGGAGGACTCCATAAGTCGCCGATGCGTTCCTGGAGCTCCTCCCGACTGCCGAGGTAGGCCGCCGCGGGGTGTAGTGGGTAGACCGGTTCTCCGGGAGTCCCACACACGCCCTACGTTTCCCCAACGGAGGGTATGGTGCGAAAAGCATTCCCCGCGTGAAAAAAAAAAAAAAAAAAAAAAGGTACCAGTAGCCGGGGAACCAGGTATACCCTAGAAAGGAAAGCCCTGCTACCCAGACAAACCTCGCTTATGGAAGACGGAGGTCCTTTTGCGACTTCCGGCGCCTGAGTCATCTGTGGTACCTGGCCCGTTCCTGGGCCTGGCGGGCCGGGAGAGTTCTAAACCTCTCACGCCTACTACTAGTACTGTTCCGCCATCTCCTTCGCAGGCATAACTTACCACGTAATTTACCATGGTGAAAATCATGTTACCGAACGAGAGAATTCCCACTCCGATGACCGCCAAGAGGTCACGCCTCTGCTCCACACACGTCGGGCAGTCTGCAAGCTTATGGAGCGACGTGTCCACGGTCCAGCAATCGCAGTGGTGGCACTCAGGCGTTGCCCCCCTGGGGATCAGACATAGGTGATCTCCGAAGTATCCTTACCTCTGTGATCACCTGCATCATCCAATTTTTGTTTTTAATCGGTTAAACAAACAAACTCACATTTATAATATAAGTATGGAAGTGTCTGTCGCGTGTATTTTGGTTATCGCGATAAAAAGTAGCCTGTGTTACTCACTGATAACGTACCTTTTCAGTGGTAAAAGAATGTTTAAAATCCGTTTAGTGTTTTAGGCATGAAAGCGTAACATACAAACTCACTTTCACATTAAGTTTGGAAGTATGGATGACTACACGCATTACGCATGCACGTCAGACAATGTATCACTAACGTCCAATTAATTTATGTTGACATAACAATCGAATGAGGGATCAAATGACAGATTTTTATCCGACTGCCAAGTAAGTTGCCAAACTATATTCCCGGGGAAGACAGAACTTGCCCGGGAATAGGGCTCTACTAGGCGCGACGTCGTTCCAGGGGGGACCTGAAATAACATGGTCCTGGTCCTATTCGGGGTGGCTTCGGGGTGGCTTCAGTTTCAGTTGAAATACAACATATTCCTGGCTCCCACATCCCCAAGAAGCCGGAGATCAGAAGGGATTTTCCACCACGTCAACAAAAAAAAAGGTCCCGCCTTCAACGAGGACGTTACGACTTGAATATCAGCATCGATTGTTGCGGATGCTGATATAAAAAACAATGCTGATACTGATATTCGCAACTACCCTGGTATGCTACTACTATGCTTAGTTTGCGACAAACATTATAGCGTTTGTTTGAAAGAAAACGGACGACATGGTTTATAGTGTTTTATCTATGGACAACACTACGAACTACATGAGGACGTCAATGTTTTTATAAATATTAGGTAATGTTTAGAGATATAACCTGTCTGCCATAGAGATATAACCTAGAGGAAACAAGAGCTCCAATCTTGCAATATAGGCAACGACAGTGATATTATATAGATCCCTCTATCTCTTTCTAGGCGAGCTCTGTGGTTGGCTGGGTTAATAAGGGGTTAATAAGTAGCCAATCGTAGCTTAGCTAAACAGAGAGAGATAGGGAAATATCGGGCATCCATTTCTCGATGAATGTATCGCTTCCACTTACAGGCAGCTGCACCCCGTGTTCTCTCTATGGTTATATCTCTATGCTGTCTGCAGCAAAGAAAAAGAAATTGTCTGTGGACTACAGGACATGCTGGTTTGTCACAGATAAAGTTGTTTGTCTATCAAAATTGCTCTTTTATCATTCCATTGCTTCGTTCATACATTCGCTAGAGTGCCTAAAGTAGTTTAACTACGAACTTTTATAACATTTTGGAACTTCTTAAAAGTACCTACCTTGTGAAAATATTTTGACGTTATTGTGAGGAATGCGGTATCCGTTGTTTTATTATTTTTCGTGTTGTGAATTGGTGACTAATTAGTTAATGTAATATTGTTCACATGCAAACTAGGTAAAATTCATATATTTGTGATGAATATTGTTGTATGAAGATGTGTTTACAATACTTACGTAGTTATTTACACGTCTCGCCGGTGTTTTCTTATAAATATTAGACATAATTAATGATCCTTCAGGGCTAAAATGGCTGGGAAGGATGATGACGAGATAATACTTGAGACTTTTATGATCAAGAGATCCCAAAACAAAAAGTTATTCTCACCGGTTAACTTCAAGGAACGCTGGCTGGTTCTGACTCGTCGAGCGCTTACTTATTATGACACGAATGGCGAGGTAAGATGTGTTGATCTCGTTAAATTAAAACAATTATTTTATTTCTCATTGATTTTTGTTAGTGTAGTAAATGTATTTTAATTAATTATAAAAATGTTTCTATATAATTTAATATATGTATTCCGGCAATAAATATATGTCTATATTTATAATACACATAAATTTGATATGATTACTTAGCTATAATACACTCAGACAAACATGTTATTGTTGTGCTGCTAAGGAAACTCAAGAAGTCGAAATCTAAAGGTGTGTAGACAATACCATTTTATTGCTTCAAATTGCATGTTATTCTATATGTAGCTCACAAAAGAATTCACTGGGAAGAAATGTAGGCCCCATAAACTCAGCTAAGCAAGGAGTTGACTTGTATTTAGCACTTGGTTTGCTGTAATTAAGATGTTTTCTTTAATATGAAATTAACTGGAAACAATCAGTATTACAGTATTTAATAGACCATTGACTATTCTATGAATTGTTTTATGTCATAGACCATACCTTGTAACGTTTTTAATCATGAGTAAAAATATAAACCTACTTTCTGTTCTTCTGTATCTGATGTAAATTATAAGCTGTAGATGTAAAAGAAAATAAAATTATGCATGTAGGTAGACTAATTTGTAATATTTAGTGGTTAATAAAATTGAGGATATTTTTTTAATTATTTAATTTCTTGTTTTATATTGTATTGTCATATGTTCTAGTTTCTGTGTGAAGTTTCAAGTCTCGGTAGTTCCTAGGCCAGTTACTTTTAATTAATTGCATCATTCTTATTTACTGAATAAACAAATAGACACTGTGTTGCTTTGCAAACATTTCTAAGCACACATTCGAGCATTGACTAGAAGTGAGATGTCCAAATTGGCAAACCAGAAATTATACCTATAGAATCTGGTGATTAATATTTATACTTTATAAGAGAAAGCCAAAATTGTAATAAACAATATTTTTGAAAGGAAAGGATACAAGTAAAAGTTTAGTTTAGGAGTTTAAGAAGTTCTCTAAGGTTATAGGAAATCTGTTTGTTTCATAAAAATAGGGATAGGATCTTGTTTGCAAAAAATACAAACAAATACGATTATACAATCTTGAATCCTCAAGAATATATAGTATATAGGTAGTTGTATAATAAACAAAAAAAAACAAACATAGTCTAAGATCCGGCTGCAGAATCAATGCACTCATTGAGTATGTGCTAAAAACAAAGTTGTTACGCATGTTTATGATTAGGAGATTATATATACCATCTAGGTATCTATATAAAAAAAAAATTTTGTTAATTCATTTTTGGGAAAACATTTTGTTCACTGGTTTTTAGCACATACTCGATGAGTGCACTGATTCTACAGTCGGATCTCGTAGTAATATATACAGTGCACAATAGACTGCCTTACCGCTATTAGTGATGTCTACTAGGAAACCTTTGGATGGACAGGAGTTACACACACATACAATATATATAATATACGCCATAATAGCGTGATTTACGCTCACAATGCATACACAAATATTTACATGTATCACACATATACATGCACATACATACATACATGTCATACATACCTATTGAAACAGATAGATACACTACATTATAGCTAGAAATAAAATAATAAACAGTTAAAAACAACAGTTAAAACTTGATTTAAATTCAAAGAGAGAGATGCAATTTGAATAAAAATTTGGTGGGATACTTTTTGTGACATTAGCTATGACATCCATCCTGACGGACTTGACAATAAAATAATTCAGAAGGGTTAATGGAAATACATAGCTTTCGTATTAATACATCTATTGTTTAATCCCAAACTGAGAGAGCCTGTACTATAGTTTTCAGACTGCTGAAAATGCATACTAATATTATAAATGCGAAAGAGTGTCGGTCATTCTGTTACCTCTTCACGCTTAAACCGCTGAACCGATTTAGGTGAATTTGGCACAGAGAATGGTTTGAGTCCTGGGAAAGGACATGGGATAGTTTTTATTCCAGAAATCACCATTAGGGGGTGGAAGTTTGTACGGGGAATTAATATACGATAACCAGTAAAAGCTAGTACTTATATATTTCAAAATACATATGGACGTTTTATGAATAAATTTAATCAAGAAATAGAACAAATGATTGTGCTCTTCACATGATTATATGTCAGGCAGCAGTTCTTTAATGATTATCACCGAGTGAGTGACGTAACCTTAGCCCAAAATCTCCCCCTCCCCTGAATCAGGCGAACTTGTAACTCTAGTTGCAGGTGTGCATGGACGGCGGTAGTTACAATCAGCAGTGCTATTATTTAAGGAAACAGCCTTGTGTACAGCGATGCCACAGCGTTGAACTTCAAACTAACTTAGTTTGAAATTCGACGCTGTGACAGCGCTGTAGCGTCGAATTTCAAACGAACCAATTTCCTTAGAGAATAGCACTGCTGATGACATGTATGCTCGTTTGCCCCTCTATACCACACATTTTTTTTTATCGTCATTACAATACTCACCATTTCTCATAATTTCGGGTATCACACGTGTAACAAGAAACACGGTGTGATAAGTTGACCATTGGTATTACGTATAACGATTTAACCGCCACACAAACTTACAGAATGATTCATAATAGTGGTTTGGCGCTTCTAGATATTGTTAGAATTTTACTATATAGAAATGATCTTGGGGATTCTTCATGATACCTTCAATATAATTTATGCCAGCTCTCATATGATTACAAATTAGAAAACCAAAACTATGGTGTCCTTAAGTACAGTACGAATTCGAAAACCAGAATTTCCTCAAATTTTCTTCTCTGCACTAGTCACTTTTTCCATTAGTTTCAATGAATGTACAAGTAAATATATAATTTTCACAATTAAGATTTTGACCATAATTTAAAGCGACTACAAGAAATTGAAAAAAATTAACGTTCGAGTCGGATTTTTTTTTCGATGCCTAAGTAAAAACCATGTGGCAGAATAGAAGAAAATAGCGTTTAGTTATTGGTATTGGTTGTGGGCCCCGGTTTTGGCATTTAGACTCAAGAATGGTTCTTTATGCGTCGAGGACAGGGTGGCTAAGTGAACCAACCAAGCTCCTTCTAGAAGCGCAGAAGCCTCCTGGGGCACAGGCTTCTAGGAGCGATTTTGGATCCGGAATGATACTTGCCCGTTGTGTGGCCACTCCCTTGCATTCGAGGATTATGTGGGCAGCCGTTTCTTCTGCATCCTCCAAAGAGGATTGTCCGTCGCATTAAAGGTAAATAGTTGTCGGTTCAGGTGTCTTGTATAGTTGTCTATTGGGATTTCTAGCCTGCTAAGACTGATCTATCTGCAGGTGAGTCGTGATGTGACTTCATTCAGCACCAGTTTGGACTGTCTGCAGCCGGGTGAGTTTTTCAACCTCCGGTTGTGTGCTTCACGAGTCTAGAATCAAAGTTGGTTGAAAGGTAGTAGCAGCAGATTGTTTGGGCCGGTAGCCGGCATTGCCGAGCCCCTCTTTGCCAACTCATCCGCGGCGTCGTTCCCGTGTGAGTTACTGTGACCTTTAAGCCATTGGAGTAGTACCCCATTTAATGTGGCAAGCTGCTCCAATGCTTAATGGCATTCGAAGACAATACATGCTGTCTGACAGTATTCGGTGTTTTAGTCCTTAATTATTGCCACACATTCGCATTGGAATATGGAACTGTATTGGCTTAACGCTAGTGATATGTTCATATTTAAGTCTTGCGAGAAAATTCCGGCTCCAGTTCCCGACAACCGTCCATGTAAATTCGGACTTCATTAATGCCAGATTGATCTAGGTCATTTTCTTGTATCTGAATCTGGTGTCTTTCCCCATCAAGTATGCGTGTTTGTTGTAGTGTAAGGGGTGTCTGACTAACGCAGTGCTCCTAATTTTCCTATCTATTAGCCTCTCAAGAACATTTTAGCGTTTGGTTATTATAGAACGTAATGCTAGCCACTTCGACCGTACGTACCTTTTTCATCATTTTAGACAACGATGATTCTTCCACTAGAGGAGAGTAAACTGCAAATAGTCCTTTAATGAAAGCCATGAACCATAAGGCTAAGCGCATCATAAACTCGTTAGCAATACGCTTGGACAGATGACCGAGTCATAAGTGACCCGATTTATTATCTCGCCACAGCGCAGATACCTGCATATTGGCAATAGACTTTATTTCGTAGTCACAATATGATATTAGACTGTTCAAATTCCAACAACATTTGGAACTGGCAATCAGAAAAAACTGAACCTATAAAACATTGCCTTTTATCGCTTTGATTGCCATTAATAAGTACATATGTATGCAGCTAATAGTCTTACATATTTTAACTCGCCTGCTTTAACAACTGAACAAATACATCTTCGCATCTTCTGTATAGTAAATTTTGAATAAATAGAATAATGGTTGTAGTACACTACTACGATATTAATTGTATCGAACTGGCTTGGATTTAACATGAAATAATTTACTCAGCTCACGTAAAATTAAGTTCGTCACAATTAAATTAATTCATCATCAACAGCCTTTAATAGTCCACTGCTGGACATAGGCCTCTCCTTAGAAAGGAGGTTTTGGCCTACTATACCACGCTGGCCAGACGGGTTGGTATAGGGATTGTATCAAGTTTTCCTTCTTTTTGCAGTGCTGGTGTCCTGCGTTGTTTTGCGCCCTTAGTCGCCTCTTACGACACCCACGGGATGAATTGGGGTAGTGACATTCCGTTTTCTTAATCCGTCAATTTAAACTGGTATAGAATATTTTTTTCTCCAACTACTACGGTCTAAAAAGAGAAGATAGCAAATACGTATTTTTAAAAGGTTCCCTAATCCATACTAATATTATAAATGCGAAAGTGTGTCTGTCTGTTACCTCTTCACACTTAAACCGCTTTACCGATTTAAATGAAATTTGGTATAGAGATAGTTTGAGTCCCAGGAAAGGACATTTTTATCCTAGAAATCATCCTTTAAGGGGGTGAAAAGTGTGGAAGTTTGTAAATGGAATCAAT